GCGGGGGGGGGGCTCATATTGACTTCTCTGGGTTTCCGACGGGACTCATGGACTCAGTGGGATCGGGCCCCCACGGTCGGATGCTGCCCAAATGAGCGACACGGCTTGGGGCTTGGGGTAGCGTTACCCCATGTCTACCCCCTCCCCTGGGTCTGGACGTGAGGGGTCCCACGGGGGTAGGACGTCCAAGATTGCTAAGCATGGCTCGAAGAGTGCCCCAGATGCTGCAAAAGCTGTAATATGGTTTACAAAATGGCCCATGATATTGCAAGACGGCTTAAGATACCTCCGACATCCCCCCAAGGGGTCCCACGATCAGCCCGAGACGGTTCCAAGTGTCCTCCGAGCCTTCAAAGGCACCCCCAATGAGAGCAACACCCTTCGAAGCCTATGGAACATCAATGTATGAGGCTTTCTCGCCGTTTCGCTTCTGTTTGGTTTTTGAAAACTTCCGATGGCCCCACGATGGCCCAAGAGAGCCTCAATAAAGGCCCCAGAGGGCCCCAAGACGGCCCCCAAAACGCCCAAAGCGGGCTCAAAAGGATACGATTCGGCCCCCCAAGGTGGAATTCGAATACATGCGTTTCCTCTTTTGTTGGCGATGGGACACACGACCGTCCCAAGAGGGCACCCAGGCACCCCCGAAAAGTCCCAACAGGGCCTGAGACCCCCAAAAGTGTCCCAAGAAGACACAAACAGAGCCCAAGAGGCCCAAGGGGACCCCAAGCGGGCGTTCAGATTGCTCCAAAATGCCCCAATAACCTCTCACAACAACGCATCCGCACAGGCCGCCTCCTCAGGTTCCTTGTCCTCGCTCGCTTCCCCCACAATCACTTTCCATTGTTCTCGTCGGGTTTTAGCGGCCAGGTAGTTCTACAGCTCTGGAGGGCGATTTTATTACACCCTGGAAGTTCAAGGAAACGTAGGAGCAAGGAAAGGCGACACCAACACCACCAGGGCGACGAGATGCGAGAAGCAAGGGGGGTCTCCCCAGAGGTGTCGCCCCCCCCTTCTCGCTCGAGACATCACCAGCATCCAGCTTGAGGGAATATCGCGGACATCCTCGCTGGAGGTGGCCCCCTGGTGGTGTTGTTGAAGAGGAGGAGGTTGATGATGAGGATGAGGATGAGGAGGAGGAGGAGGAAGAGGAAAATGGAGGAGGATGAGGAGGAGGAGGAGGAGGAGGAAGAGGAAGGAGGAAGAGAAGAGGAGGAGACAGAGTTGTTAAACTCGCGCGCTCAGGCATGCACGTGGGCGCCCCTGGTCTCGGCACCCTGGCCGAGCGCACTAGCAGCACGCTCGCGGCAGGGTGGGCCAGCGGCCTCAGCGCGCATCCTCTCTAGCGGCAAGCGGGGACCAGCAGGCTGATGTCTGCTGCCAGTGCACCCGCCTCCGCTGCTGCTCTCCCTGGCGGCAGGCGACGATCGGCAGGCTGACGGCTGCTGCCGACACTACCGCCTCCGCCGTCTCTGGCCGCTGCTCCGCGGGATCTCCATCGCGTTCGCGGCCTGCGCCTTCTCAGCGTCCTTGAGCAGGAGCCACTCTGGCTTGCCCCTACTGGGCCACTGCTTGCGCTTCGAGCCCTCCGCCTTCTGCTCCTCCTCGGGCCGGGCGTGGGTCTTCCACTTTTGCTGCCCTGCGAACTCGTGCTGAGCCCCATCCGTCTTGGGCTGCCACTTTGTCGCGCGCCTCGGCGCGCACCAGCTGGGGGTTGTTTGTGCGGCCCCCCACCGCGCATGGACCGTCTGCGCGTCGCCGTCGCTCTGCTCCGTCTCGTGGGCGCACTGGGGACGGCCCTGGTACTCCGCGATGCTCAGCTGGTTGCCGAGGGCCACCTGCAAGTACGCGTCCACGGTGCGCACCTGGCCGTCCTCGATGCTCTCCTCTGCCTCCTCTAAGTAGAGCTTTCTGCCCTGGCCCTCCGCGAAGCTCCGCGTGTGGCCCTCGGTCCACTGGGCGTCGCCGTCGTTCTGCTGCTCGGCGTTGCGCGACTGGCCCTCCCCGCCGTCGATCTCGCCCTTCTTCTGCAAGATGTCCAGAGCGGGGAAGGCAGGGACCTCCACGAGCGGGGCGAGCATGTGCAAGTTGTCCAAGGCCTCCTCGAGCTCCTCTATCTGCTTGCCCTGCTCATCGATCACGTTGGCGAGGTCGCGCGTCTCGGTCTCCATCTGCTTGATCCGCTGCTTGGAGTCGTCCAGCATCTCCCCAAGGACGTGCATTTCCTGGTCCTGCTGGCTAAGCTGCATCAGGAGCTTCGCGTTCTGGGCCACCAGCTGGGCCTTGATCCGCATTGCCTCCAACAGCTCGGTCTCCTTCTGCTCCATGGACTGCTTGTGCTCCGCCTTTGCCGCCTCCAGCTCCAGCATCTTCTCGCCCAGCAGCTCCTCCCTGGAAGACTTCTGCTCGAACTTGCTCTCATTCTCCCTGGGCCCCTGCGCGCTGGAGTCCGCCTCCTCGTGCACGAGCTTGGACATCCCGTGGGCCTCTCCGCCAGCACTGAGCCACGCCCGCGCCTGGTCGAGGGCTTCATCGCCCATGCCTTGGTGGCGAAGCAGGCTCGCGGCGGTGTCAATGCCCCGCCAGGCTCGCTCGAGGTGCGGTGGAGGCCTCCTCCCCTGGTCCCTGAGCTTCTCCAGCCCTTTCGCCAAGGTGCTGCCGCCCAGGGCGGCGACGAGCTCAGCGCCACAGCCGACGAGGCGCTGCGCGTGGGCTCCGAGGCAAAGGCGTCCCTCGCCCTCCTGCCCGCCTCCCGCGCGCGTGGCCGCCTCGGCCTGCGCCTCCGCCGCCACTGGCGAAGGCTCCGCCGACTGCCCCTTGGCCTGCAGGAGCAGCATGAGCTCGGCGGCCTCGCCCACAGTGCCCACAGACGCGAGGGCGGCACCGTGACGGACCGTGGGCCCGCGGCGCCCGCATCGCCCCATCGCACCGCCAAATGCCGCGCGCCAGGGGGCAGCGCGGCCGTGGCGCTCACGAGGGCGCCTCCGCGCGGGTCCCAGCCAGAATGGCTACGGAAGAGGAGGAGAAAGAGGAGGAGGAGGAGGAGGAGGAGGAGGAGGAGGAGGAGGAGGAGGAGGAGGAGGAGGAGGAGAAGGAGGAAGGAGGGAGGAGGAGGAGGAGGAGGAGGAGTGGGGGGGTGAAGGCATGTACTCCTCTCGTGCTCCATATGGGCACGCGGGTGACAAGCTAAGGGCCGTTTGAGAGCTCCTCGTGCCAAGCTTGACAAGCCGCGGTTGACAAGCCAAGCCGCGGGTGACAAGCCAAGTGTGACAAGCCGTGGGTGACAAGCCAAGCCGCGGGTGACAAAGCAAGGGCCAGCCGTACGGCGAGGACCTTGCACCCGACTGCTTCGCAGCGGCGGCCCAGGCAGGAGACACGCTGTGCCCCGCGAGTGCGTGTCGCTCCGCTCCGCGGGCCGGGGGGGCCGGAAAAGCTCGGTTTATCGCTGCGTGGGAACAACCCAGACATGACCGCGTCGTGGACAAAAATCTGGACAAGAGGTTTTGTTGTCCATTTTCGGCCTCGGGGGGCCCTCGCTGGGCCTCGGGACCGTCAAGACATGACTCGGGATGAGAAACCGGTCCCGGGAAAAGGTCGGGACTTCCAGGGGCCCCGTGTTGAAACAAATAAAAACGTCGCATGTCTGGGAAGGGCATGGCTGGCGTGTCGCGAGGAAGCGTCGTGGGCCAGAAACGGCGGCGGGAGACGCTTTCATTAGGCAGAACTCCCGACACCGTACACGAGGAGGTGCAGAGACGCGCAACTCCCTCGGGCACCTGTTGGGGGCCCGCGGTGGCAAATCCCGGGGCCGCTTCCGTGCCCCGATGCCCCCCCCCCCCAGAGATCCGACAATTTGATTTTCGGATGCGGGGCCCTGGAAGTCCCAATCCTTTCCCCCAGATCCCCGACGTCATGTGTTTTGTTCAAAGGCGTGCGCCCCCAGAGTTATGAACCCTTTCCCGTCTACAGCTGTTTCTTCCCGAGGTGATGCGTCACTGTCCCGAGGACCTGTGAAACCCCTTCCAGAGCGGGAAATTGCCAGCTCACCCCGTTGAATGTGTGACGCGAAAGGGTCTCGGTCCAGCATGCCTCCCAAATTGGTCAGACTAGATGGGGCTGGAGCATCGCACCACGTCGACGATGCGTCACCGACGAATCGGCAAAGCATCGGCGACGTCGGCGGCGCATCAGCGACGTCGGCGATCACCGAGCATCGAGATCATCGAACAAAAATCGCCGCATCTCCACTTCGAGCCGCCTCGCTGCTGCATCGGCGATGCGGCACGAACCTCCGATCCTTCGGTGGCAACTCGTGGGAGCCTCCCGTGCCATCTTGCTGGCTCGTGCTAACCGACGCTCGCCAACGCTAGTCGACGTTGAACGATGCTACATCGACGCTGGGCGACGCTAGATCGAAGCTCTCTCAGCGACTGCCAGACGCTAGCGCACGCCAGTGCACTGTAGAGACGGGATTGCGAGGGCATACGAGGCTCCCATGATGTTCTACCGAAGGGCCCCGTGCACTCGGACCCAATCAGGAGGCCTGAACCGTTGCTGGGGGAACCAAGGTACCGATACCGCTATACTCACCGGACCTCTCCCAGGGTGCATTCTGACCAGAACTTCGAGGCGAATCCAGCAGTGGCGACGAAGGCCTCCCAGGAGGCCCCAAAAGGGGAAAACGGGCGGAGGGTACAGGCAACGCCGTTTGCAAACGAAACGCCCACTGGTGGAAGGCCAGAGAGCCCCGCCCCCGCGGCCCTGTATCGTAATGCTGGCCAGCGGCAAAAGGAGCGCGACGTGTTGCGAACTAAACGCCCACTTCTGCGTGGGGGCACGGCGTCCTCGTCAGCCTTGAAATGCGGGGGGAGAGGGGGCGAGCTCTGCCGTCTTGTCACCGGTACCTGACACGGGCGCTTATTTCGCAGACGACGGTGAGTTACGGGCGCCTCTTCCTCCTCTGAAATTAAGAGAGGTCTGGACCGTTGCCGCCCACCTGGCTCCTCCGCCTCTCGAGCGCGCTCCGCCCGGAGGTCCGGGTAGCTCCTCAGGAGCCGCAGGGCGTCGCGCGCGAAGGGGTCGAGGTCCTCCACCTCCGAAGGGGGGGGGGGCAGAAGTAACTACATGCACAACTCCCAGGGTTCCCCCAAGAGTTGCCCACGCTTCCTGGAGCTTCGTCTTCCCACCCGCTTCCCATGCTTTCCCATATTTTCGTTGGAATCGACCATTCAGTGTGTGTGATTGTGTGTATGTGTATGTGTATGTGTGTGTTGTTTTCCCCTCCGTGTATGTATATGTATGCATGTGTGCATGTGTATGTATGTGTGTGTGGTTGTATGCGTGTGTGTACGTGTATGTGTATGTGTGTATGTGAGTATATGTGTATTGTATGTGTGTGTGTGATTGTGTGTATGTGCATGTGTATGTATGTATGTGTGTATGTGTGTATGCTTGTATGTGTGTGTGTGTGTGTTTGTTTCTTCCCTCCGGAACCTCGGCGTCCAGCTGGGCGCGCTGGGGCGAGCGGCTGCGCGCTTGGTTCCCGCGGTGCACGGCCTGGATCCTCGCGGCCGCGGCGTGCTCCTGCCAGGGTTTCAGGCCGGGCACGTCCTCCGACAGGCAAGTTTTGGTAGAGAAATAGTTCACATGCTCTCAACTGGTCCAACATAATCAAAACATCGCCCCCGACCATTTCTTCACTGTTCTCGAAGGTTCACGCCCGACTTCATGTTAGGGGGGCGCAGAAGCCGTGCGGTGACACTCCGTGCGGCGACCTCTGAATCCCAAAAGACCTCCCCTTAGATCCTGGCGTTGCATGCTTCTCTGCTTGCCGTCGAATCCAGGGGGCCCTCGCAGAGCGATCCAGCTCGACCAAGGACGCAGAAAAACAACTCCGGGGCTGCGGCGGTGATTGTTTGTGATGTTGTAATATTTTCTGGCATCGTCTGCTCTGAGGGTCACCGTCCGGTCCGTCACCGCACGGGTTCGGGACCTCGGAGGCCCTTAATCGCCCCAAGAGTGACAATAGCTGCGAGGTTCCGATACCCCGCTCGGATGAAAAACGTAGTCTGGGGCTGCGGCGGTGATTGTGGTTTAATGTTGCATTCTCTGGCAACGTCTGATCTGAGGGTCACAGCGTAGTCTGTCACCGCACAGGCTCGGGGCCTCGGAGGCCCCCATCGCCCGAGTCTCCCTCCTGGAGCCCGACTCAAGGCCCCCCAAACCGTACACGGCCACCCCGGGGTACCCCGCAGATCGCCACGGACCCACCACACGGTGCGGCCACCGCTCTGTGCGGGGGGGCCCCCGATATCCTGCAGTGGAGGTCGGGGCCGAGGTCGGACGAAGGGGCGGGTGTAGACGGGGGTCAGCGGCTCAGCCTGCGCAGCTGCTCTTCCGTGCGCTTCCCGCCGCCAGGGACGCCAGTGTATCGTAGAGGTGGCCCAGCGGCGGGCCGAGACCAAGGGCATGTGGCAGAAGTCGTACACCTCCCCCATTCCTCCTCCTCCTCCTCCTCCTCCTCCTCCTCCTCCTCCTCCTCCTGCTCGTCCTCCTGCTCCTCCTCCTCCTCCTCCTCCTGCTCCTCCTCCTGCTCCTCCTCCTCCTGCTCCTCCTCCTCCTGCTCAACCTCCTCCTCCTGCTGCTCCTCCTCCTCCTCCTTATCCTCCTCCTCCTCCTCCTCCTCCTCCTCCTACTCCTCCTCCTCCTTCTCCTCCTCCTCCTCTTCCCGCCTTCAATGTCTCCCTTTTCGCTCGACCCGAGAGCGGGGGGGCTGGCTCGGGGCTCGGGGGCGGAACCGACGATGCATCGCATCGCCGACAAATCGGCGACAGGCTCTCGCAGGGTACAGCTCGAGGAACAATTACTCTGCCGAAAATGCTGTTAGTGCTCACGAGGGCCATCATCGTCGACGACCCAAGACGGTGATGATACCAGGATGCCACGATGCGACCCTTGAGGACGATGAGACCTACGAGACCCATGGGGCTCGAGAGACTTGCAGGGCATGTGGGACCTGTGGGACCTGTGCGGCCTGCGGGGCCTGCGCGACCTGTGGGGCCTGTGAGACCTATGAGACCTGTGGGACCTGGGGCACATGTGGGCCCTGTGGGACCTGTGGCTACAACTCATGGGACCTGTGGGGCCTGCGGGACCTGTGAGGTTTGTGCGGCCCGTGAAGCCTGTGCGGCGTGAAAGGGTTTGTTGGATCTGTAGGACCTGTCGGATTTGCGAACACTATGGGACCTGTGGGACCTGTGGGGCCTGCGGGGCATGCAGGACCGCCTGTGGGACCCGTGGGGCCTGTGGGAACTGTGTGACCTGTGGGACCTGTGATACCGGTGGGACCTGCGAGACGTCCGAGACCCGTAAGACCTGTGGGACCTGTGCGACCTGTGGGGCCTCCAGGGCCTGCGGGCCGTGTGGGAACAATTGGACCTGTGCGACCTGTCGGAATCGTTGGCCCGCTGAGTCTTGTTCGGCCTGTGGGAACTGTGGAACCCGTGTAACCTGTGCGCCCCCGGCTCCCGCTCGAGACTTGCCCATGATGCGCTCACGGACGAGGCTCCCATTCGAGACGTCCCCAAGAGCCGAGAACCCGCTCGGATTCGAGCATGGAAGAGGGGACCACGTATGAAGGCGTTCCCGCTCCAGACTTGCTCGCGATTCACTCACAGACGAGGCTCCCGCTCGATACCTCCTCCAAATTCAAGCCTGAGGAGCCCCAAAAGTGACAACAGCCACATGTTCTAGAGGACGCCGCTTGGATTCGGACATGGATGTGGGGACCCCATAGGGAGGGGGTCCCGCTCGATAATTCCCCGCGACTCACTCACAGACGAGATCCCTGCTCGAGACCTCCTCCAGTGTGAGGCCTGCGGAGCCCAAAAAGTGACGACAGCTAAAAGTTGTGGTTGACCCCGCTCGGATTCGAAGTGTGGGGACCCACAGGGGTGGCTCCAGCTTGAGACAGACTTCCTCGCGATTCACTCACCGACGAGGCTTCCGCTCCAGGTTTCCTTCATATTCAAATCTCAGGCGCCAAACAGTGACGATAGTTACAAGGTTCCGATACGCCGCTCGGATGAAAAACGTAGGCTGGGTCCCCATAGGGAGGGTCTCCCGCTCGAGACTTTCCCGTTCGAGACTTCCTCGCGATTCACTCACACACCAGGCTCCCGCTGCAGACTTCCACAAGATGGGCGTGTGAGTGTGAGTGGGTGTGCGAGTGTGTCAGTGTGTGTTGGATGATGATGCTGATATTGATGCTGATGGTGAGGATGATGATGCTGATAGTGATGTTGCTGTTGATGGTGATGGTGATGTTGGTGGTGATGGTGGTGATGCGAATAGTGATGTTGTCCAAATTGCTGCTGACCGTGAGGATCAGTACGATACTACTGTTGATCATGATGTTTATGATGATGATGATGATGGTGCTGCTGATGATGATGATGGTAATAATAATGATGATGCTGATGCTTCACGCGTCCTTCAAATATATGTGTGTGCGCGTGTGTACGAGAGTACGTGAGTGTGTACGGGGATGATGATGATGATGATGATGATGATGATGATGATGGATGATGGAGTGGTCAGGTGAGTGTGCACTCATTTTGCGATGCTGATGATGGAATGCTGGTGGGGATGATGAGGATGCTGCTGATTATGCTGCTGATGGTGATGATGCTGATGATGATACTGATGCTTATGCTGCTGATGATGATGGTAGTGATGATGCTGTTGATGGTGATGTTAAACTTGCTGTTTGCGGTGATGAGGATGAGGACGATACTGCTGCTTCAGACGATGATGGTAATGTCGATGATGATGCTGATGATTATCACGTCCTTCCAAGATGTGTTTGTGTGCGCGTGTGTACGAGAGTACGTGAGTGTGTGTTTGCGATCATGGCGATGGCGATGGTGTAGTCAGGTGATTGTGAACTCATGTTGCGATGATGATGGTGATGCTACTGATGAATGATGGAATGCTGATGGGGATGATGCGGATGGTGCTGCTGATGATGATGCTGCTGCTGATGAGGCTGCTGCTGATGGCGAACAGTTATGAGGATGGTGTGGTGACGAAGCTGAGTGCGAAAGGAGAAGAGGAGGAGGGCTGTGATGATGGGCGATGGTGATGGTGTGAACGCAGGAGAGGAGGACAGAGGGGGTCAGGCGGGGTGTGTGCAGCGGAAACAGGATCCCCACTGACAATGTTGGGAAAGCTCATCAAGAATCCCTCTGAGGACCGCGCGGATTCCTTAGATCGGCCGCTGGACCCCCTCCCGGGCGCGCTCCGCCCGCCAGGGCTGGCGACGAAGCCGCCTCCAGGGGGGCCCAGCGCCAGTCCGAGAAATCCGCGCGGACCTCCGAGCAAGCACGTTTGTGCCGATGTTTCTTCTCAAGATGGTGCTCCGTACGTTAAGAAGGGACCGACCGTCCCGGCAATCCTATAGGCCTACCACGGTATCTTCTCAAATCCAGAAATTCTCTGTGAACAAAAACACTGCTCTTAGAACATGAGCCCGATGTGTAAAAAACAAGACAGTCCCAGCCAGAAGCGTTCAGAGAACATGTCGTGGGAACCACAAGAGGTTCTTAGCACATTGCTTGGTAGGCCTATAGTCAAGTCGGGCCTGTCCCCCTGCAGGGAGATTTTGAGCGAAAAACTGAAAACACCCCCAAAATGCTCAAACATAGTTTGAAACAAATCGACACCAGACTATTTTTTGACTATTCTTGAATATTCCTCCTGTAGAGGGACAGGCCCGACTCAAGCCCAAAGCACGCCAGGGCGCCTCGCCACTGCTCGAAATTCTCCGGATGGTGCTCAGTGCGGTCGGGAAAACTCTTGCCTACACCCGTCGCGGCGGCGGCCCCGCGGCGACACGCGACGCGCCATGCGAGCGGACAACGCGTGCCGCTCTCCACTCTCCGCGGGGTGGGGAGCTCAGACCATCTCGGGACTTAGCTGCCCCGGTACGCAACGCGCAACACTAAGCGTGTTGACACGGAGCTCAACACGTAGACTGAAAGCGTAGGTCTGACGCGAAGCGTTCGCCAAAGCATGGGCCGATACGTTGATCCAACACGCAAGGTATCGACAAGGACGTTGCGAGAACGGCACGTGCTGCGTACCAAAGAGGGTGTATCGAGGCAGTTAAGTCTCGGGACGTTGACGCTCGAGGACTGAGTTGCTCCCATCGCACTTCAGGACCACATCCCCAAAATACTTTCGAGCACCTGGCAACGTGTCGAAAGAGTGTCCGAACAGTGTCGAAGCAGTGTCCCCCAGGGCCCGAGACGTGAAAACCTTCGAGTTCCGGTACTTTCCTGGTGCTCGGAATTCTTTCTGGTGGTCGAGGCTGGAGAGGGCTTGAGCACCATAACTCCAGG